CAGATCTGGGGACTCATGCCAGCAATCAGCACGATTCTTACCTTTAAGCACAAAAATATTTTCTGCCACCACAAGTGGTCATCAGTAACTCGACAGCAGGAAAGCAGTCCTGCTCGGAAGTTACCGTTCTTCTCCGAGCTGGCACAAAAGCTGGCTTGTGTGCTGAAGTTAAGCGTAAGTGGCTATGGTCCAGCTTGCATTCCTTTAAGCAACCAAACTCCTTGCTAATTACTCCTTTTTTTTGTAATTCTACTCATCTCATTGTGCCAAATTATCCCACAGATTTTATTCTGCTCCTTGTACATTTAAATGTTAGACACACTTAAGTATCTGTAAATTACATTCCAGGTTCATTTCCTGGCCTTTTGTATTTCAAAAAACAATAGAGCCAGAATCTGTATTTTACTCTTTCAAATAAGACACCTAGGCTCAGAGAAGTGCGGCAAATCACTGTCAGAAACACCCGCCCCCGAGTTATTGTCTAGATGGCAGAGGCTGGGGAAATCAGCAAAACAATGTTTCGGCTAGCAAGCCACCGCTGCTCCTTCTGCTTCGCAAACCGGCTCCAGGCACTTTCTCTTGTTCTTGTGATTCCCTTCCTGAATTACTTCAGCCAAGTAATTGTTTCATCATGTTGCACAGAAATATTTTCCCATCGTGTCACCATGACATTCATTTCTAAAACCAAAGCTCCTCCGCTCGCTTATAGAAGATGTATCGCAAAACTCTTGTGGACCCAGATCCCAGGTGAGCTAAGGGAGGGGGGGAATAGAGCAGGTGAGGCGTTAGAGGGATTTTTGCATTGTTTGAAGGAGACTGTGACTCCTGTTACTGTCATTTCTAGACAACATCAATGAGCTCCTTACCCCAGGCTTAATGAACTGCTGTTGCAATATAGTAGCAAACCCAAGGTAGTTATAGAAAACAAACAAGCCATTGCACTCGGTTTCTATGGGGATACATCTATATAGAGAGAGATATATGGGAATATATGGGTATATATATGGGTTTCTATAGGGACCATAGCATCTTGTAGCCCCTATCAAAAATGCAGTTCTTTACTCTGAGCAGCATGATGTACTGAGGTGTCTGCCTTCGAGCCAGTCAAAGCCGGGTCTGCTGACCAAGCCAGCACTTCTACAGTGGGAGTTCTTAGAGGATTTATTCTGCAAATTGTATGAAATTATGAGACTTAATGAAAAGCTCCGATTTAAATACCCTGAACTCTGAGAAAGCTTTGATAGCTGTGTAACGTGTGATACAAGAATCCCAGAGGCAAGAGCAGATAGGGCAAGGTGAAAACGAGAAGTAGATCAAAGTCTTCTTAGCTTTTAATTAGCTAGAAAATATTGGAATTTATTATTATTATTTATTTTATGAATAATTTTAATAGTAAACAAATAAATTTGTGAAAATTTTAAAGCACATGAGGGTTAAATTCGGTGCTGCTCTGTGAAATTGTGGCAACCAGTCGGAAGGTGTGGAACTAGATGTGTCCCTATTGTAAATGCAAATCAATTAGCTTCAGCAACTATTAACCCATTTACCCTCATTTTGAATTCCGGCCTTACTGTTTTTCACATCCAGGCAGATCTAACCATCACCACCTCTAGGAGGGGAGAGAAGCCTTTTATTCAAAACAAAACATTTGAACAATTCAGCAGGGGAAGGATCGCAAAAGGCATTTTGGTTTCCAATGGAGTTTCCAATAGACCAGACAGAGCAAATCAGAGTTAACAACTATGCCAAACGTGAGAGTTTCATTTCACATGGTCCTGATGTCAATCCAAGGCTGTATCTAATCTTTGTAGGTGTTTACATACTCACCATAGCTCGTGCTGCTCATCTGCCCAGGCTGGGGCAAAACAGCCCCAGCTCACATGAAAGAATCAGGAACCTCAGAAAACCTCAGGTATTATCCAAGTGTAGAGTTTCTACCAAAGTTTAGTTTTATGTTGCAAAGATTAAACTCTCCGACTGTTTTGGGTCCCAGCAGAGTTAAATAGAACTTCATTCTTTTAATAATTTCCTTTGTCTGTTCAGCGAGTGTCTCTCCAAAGAGAACCAATTCCCTCACATATTTAATGTACAGTTTTGGCTACATGGTTTTATTTTTACTTTATGGCTTGATTAAAAAAGGTGTTCAGAATTTGAATGGAATTGTTTCCTTGGAAGTAGTTCACTATATTCCCAGTTTTGTTTGGATTTCCTGATTAATGGATTAGGACCCTTTCAACATTCATGCATAGGTTTAAATTTTTCTTCACACTTCACATTAGTATATGAGGTTTGTCCTAAAATTCTGACCGCTAAGCATTTGCGTAGACTTAAACATAAAAAAGGCTGACACTCCAGAGAGTAGTAATACTTTTTTTTTTGCATTAGCAATCGGTAGCAAAAAAGAGTTAGAACCAAATCTGTCATCCCCCCCGTCCACCGTATAATCATCTATATCCAGTACAAACCGAATGCAGAACCCTGCCACTCCAGTTTGGTGGTGCTTTAGACCCACTTTGTGTCGGTGTGAATGACAGGAAAATGCAAGACAATGCTTGTTGTATCTTAAGCAATATCACTACAAATAACAAAAGAAGATGTGTAATTTGGCCTCATATACATTTTTTCTCTTTATTAAAGCAGATACTGAGTTGCATTGACTTTTATTCTGGTCACAGCTAATGAAACATTGCTTAAAATCTAGCTAGTATGAGAGTAACTTCATATTTTTATACACATCCACATCAATGACGGTTGTTCTAGCAGTGAAATTGTAAAGGTGAACATTGTGCACAAAGCTTTTTTCGGGTTGTAATTTCATATCTGAAGGCTATTGCAGAATTTCAATGAGGAAAAAAACCACACAAATGTGATCACGTCTCCCGCCCAATAACTCTTTGGTGCCTGTGTGCAATTTGGGTGATTTTATTTGATAGAGGAGAAACAATTAGTATAGAAACAAGCATGAATCTTCCTGTGTCTTCCAAGAGTCACTAATGGAAGGCAGTGGGAAAAGTGTGAAAGCAACACCGCCCTGTCAGAGCTGCGAGGGGTTATACATGCTTTGGGCAGATAAGCAGAGAGTCATAATTTCTATTAATAGATAGATAGAACTGCTAACAAAATTGTAATCATATTTTTAAATATTTTGGTTTAAAATGATACATATGATGCCTTTGCAGAACTAAGCACAACTGAAACCAAACACCTCGCAAATGATAACAGTGCTGGATGCTTTGCAAAGGGGATGTCAGTGCTAGGGATTTGATCTTACGGACTTATTTCTACATAGGAAAAAAATCGGTTATTTTAGTAGTAACAAGAAAGACCTGTATGAATCAGTCAATGTAATAAATAATTTCAAAGGGGAAAAAAAGAAAAAGCCCAAACAAAATGCTGTTTATAAACTTCCATAAATTCGGAACAGACTACTGGAGTAAGTGCCTTAGCTTTTCCACATGGTTTGCCTGCACAGAGACTGCAGAGTCTTACCACAAGCTGTACCGAGAGTCGTTTTAGGAAAAGAAGCTCAAGAGCTCCTGTCAGAAGGCACCCGAGACGTACCAAGTACTGCTTTCAGTCCACAGAATCTGATTTGTAATGGGAAACTATATCAATATTTGGAGCTGAGCCACTATTTGGACAGGGATTTTCCAATTCCCCCACTGTGATTAGAAAAGGTATTTGGACTCTTTTGTCTGCTTTAGTGCTTGGAGTTTTCTCAGATTAATTTCCAAACTATTTTTTTCCTGACTACTTTTTCTAGGAAATGTTTTAATTACAGGGGCTTTTTCATATGCTTGTTTATAAAGCAGGGTATTTCATGACCTCCTTGCAGTTAATAGCGCTATAAAACTCCTAAAATGTAAGTTATGTGGGTAACAGAAGATTAAGAATGAAGGATTCGGGAATTCTTTTTCCGACCCTTTCACGGATTCCTTCTGAGACTGGTGTAAAATTGGTGCATTCATGTCCTTGATTTTCCTGTCTGTAACTGCATCTTTCTGACAAAAACTCATTGCTGCACGTTTCCTCCTGAACAAGAAATCTGTAATCCTAATTAAGAGATACACTGGAACACAGGAGTAATTTAAACATTCTTTAAATTGCAGCAACACTGCCCGGGCTCTCCTGAACTGTGGCAGGCAAAGTTTAAGGACGGGGATTAGCTCATTCATGCCTGATAGAGCTCTATCTCCAAAACTGGACTATTATTTAAACAAATATAAAATACCTTTAGTACATCTTATCTCTCAATCTACCCTGCCTTCCAGTCCTCTGGACAAAACTGAACTTTTGTTGGAAGCTTTGTCATTTATAAAGAAAGAGAGAATGTATCTGAAGACATCTTCAGTCCTCCAGCAATTCCACCCTCAGCAGCACTTGGTTCTGACTGGGAACACAGCTTGAAAGTTTGGGTAACATTACATGGCCTACAGCACAACAAGAAAATCGGATCTAACGATGTGGATAAGTTTCGTAACTAGAAGAATAGTAGAATAAACAGCCACAGGAGGCTGGAGTAATCATCGTCACGAGGGACAGTCAAGACAAGATCTAACGTCTATCTTGCCTGCAAGAACTTGAGTCATGCTGGTGCAGGAGCTAGCTCACCCAAGAAAATCTATTCTTAGGGTCTCATAAAAACAACTTAACTGCACTGTACAAATTAAAAAGCAAATGGGAGAAATCTGTATCCGGACTAACGCTCCACTGCTTACGAGCAGGAGCTGTGGAGGCATTGCGCGAGCAGGGCATGTGTAACAAACTTCAGTGAGGGCTCCAGGAGATTCACCCCCAGGAGGCAACAATCTTAAGTGTCAAAAAAAGCAGAACAGTTCTTTTAGGAGAAAACATGCTTTGCTTAAAGAAACGCTAAAAATAAGCCACTAATTGAATTTACAATCTGTCCTTCCGCAATCTACTGCCGTTTGTATTGAAATGTATAGCGGCAAATTCAAGTCCACTACTTTTATCCTGAAAAATCTTTCCATGTTCAGCTGTCACAGCATAGACAATTCAGGAGTTTTTCTGAGGCACTGGGAATCTGGATCTAAAAACTTAGCACTTAAATTTGGCCTAACAGGAAAATGGAAAATGCTGAGTAAGACACGATCATTTGCCCGACTCCCTCCACGTAACCAGCCTGAGACTGTTAACTTCTTACAGACCTCGGCACAGCAGCATACAGTGGGGGAAGTAACGCAACCTGGGAGCCCTGGCAAGGGCAGGCATCGGCAGGCAGAGCCTTAGTTCTCTCTAAAACAAAGTTATGGCCTGCTACAAATCTCCTCCTCTGCCACCCCCCCCACTTATTTGTCGCTCGCCCCCTACACGCACGCATGCACACAGAACCAAACACCTCCCCACAGAGAAACTCTACTGACAGTTGTTAGAAAAACGTCCCAAGAGAAAAGATAAGGGAGTTGTTCATATGCCTCTCACCTGGCTGGGCTTCATGAGAGCTTCCTGAGCAATGACCGAAATTACCGACATCCAACAGAAATGCTACTTTCTCATGTTTATTCCTGTAAACTACAAACATAAGAAATGCTGAATAGAATAGAAACTCTGTAAAGAAAATAAAAAAAATCTTCCAAGCTTCCTCCCTTACTTTTTTTTCCTCCCTCCCACTTCAGGCTTGGTGTTATTTTGCCAAAGATTGGTCATGGTTTGGATAGCACATCTCGCTCTACACGTTCAGAACAGCAAGAAGTGCAGAAAAACCCCAACACAAACACCTCCTCCCCAAACAACACCCAAGCGGCAGCTAAAGCAAGCGATTAGAGGAAACAAAATGAGGCAACAAGAACTGGCTCAAGTGTCCAGCTCTGCTCTTTGCTGGTTTCTCTTGGGGTTTGGGATTTTTCCCCACACACACACTTCTCTGAGTCACAAAGTCAAAAGACCGACAAAAATCCTAATCACAGCATTGAGCCGGACTCAGCTAGAATTTCAGCCCTGCGTTTAATCTACCTTGAAACATGCCTTCAAAATAAAACAAGCTACTTTTTTTAACCTAGTCATAAAGTTTATTAAAATTGTTCATTAATGCTTCAAATGTAGCAAGAATGCATAGATCCCAAAATATACATATGTATTTTCTTATAGAAATAGATTATTCTTTATAATAAAAAAAACTGTAGGAACATCTTTAACAGATTACTCAATCCATGACTGACAGTTACACGAGATTGCATCATGTACACAGCATTCCCAGCCATGCTTAAAGGATTGCATCACTTCGCCCTTGCTCTCCTCTCGCTCTTTTAAATACCCCCAGCGCCCCGCA